TAGGTGAACTGCCATCCCTGACTGACGAGTGCCACCTACACAGGTTTTAAATAACTTTCCGTCTCCTAGGTGTTATTGTTTGCAAAATAATCTGTCCATGATCATTGTAAGCGCAACTAATTCCTCATAAGCCATGTGTTTGACTTTTTTTAAGTTAATGCAATGAAAGTACACAGTATATAGATGTGCATGAAGAAAAAAAATTGCAACTTTACTTTAATTTCCTTGAGTTATGACCCTTGAACTGTAACTTGGCACGAAGAAAGGGATTTGCGATATGACTTTTCTCCTGGAGTTATGCCTATCAAAACTTATTTCTGATCCAGAAACTGTGTAAGCCAAAGTGGAAGGTAGATCTTTGTGAGCGAGCTTACATTTTCTCTAGCAATTACTGGACTCTTCATTCATTTGCCTGTTCTATATTGAACAACATAGTCGTGGTTGCTGTCTGAATAGAGGGAAGATCAATCGACTGTTCATGTATAGGTCTGTGAAATGGTATGGTTAACCTCTGCTTTATTTAACCATCAGTTTTAATTTTCTCTTTGGTGGTCACTTAATGCAGATTTGACAGTGAATTTAAACAGTGTAAAGTTGAAGCATTTAAACACTTTTTAGTGTAAAATTTCAGTATTCAATGCCATTTAATGTAGTTGTATTTTTTTAAAGTAGAGAGTCAGTACTGGGCGTTGTATTGCCAACTGAAGAGTTCAACTTTTTTCCGAATTTTCTGACTTAAAGAGTTACTTGCTCATTTTGAATAACCAAGAGTTACATATGAAAGAAAGTTAACATAATTTCAATCTTCAAAAAAACATCTCTGCTTCCAAGAATAACCCCAGACCTCTCGATTACAAATTAGGGGGCTTTTCCATTGCACCAACAGACAATGTGTTTTATTTCTTTCAGCAACATCACTGGAAATAATTTCAAAATGTTCTAAACTCCTAAAAAGCCCTGCAACCTATAATTTTCAGCACCTGCAATAATAGAACAAGAATTCCACGGAAGTGGATGTGTCGCCTGCGCAGGAAGCTGGGAGATTACGAAGAAATAGATACACTTTTCATTTCAAGAAATAATGTTAAAAGTAAGCAATAATCATAGATTATGTTTTTGGATGGCATCATTTTGTTATATAATCTGTTATTCTGGTAAGAATACTCTGAGTTTTAAGGAACTTGCTATGGATACTCATGGTCTCAATTCCAAGTTTAACTTGTATGATTTGTCGGATGGTTTCCCATAAATAAATGAATAAACTTGTGGATTATGATGTTAAACAGCTAGTGTTGTCAATAACATTTGGA